TTGTATCCACAAACGAACAGTCACCTGTCAGAAAACGTGCTACTTAAATTTCATCCCAGTCTCTGAAGACTGAGCTTTTCTTTTGTTTCATATTCCCTGTTGATTAACCATCACTTTACTGTTAGCTAGACCGATGGTCCCTCCATAGTATCTAACATAAATGTGTGACGGTGACTAGGTGAATAGCCTCTCAAACGTCTCCGGCAGTGCTGTTTTCTTGCACAGAGTTGTTATTTAGTCTTTTTATAATAATTTGCAAATTGCGTATTTTTCAGACCAGTGACTCTAGAATTATTGTGTTTTTAACCAATCCATGTTTGTGAAAAACACAGTGCAAGTCTGTTGTGCTCCAGTGCAAGAGTATAAGGGTTTTTCCAATGACAAATAAAGTTAAGTGTTAAATTTAAGCCTTTCTAGTGAGCATAGTGTCAGCATACTTGTGCACCTACTCCTGTACTCTAAAGAGCAAGGGTAAAAAAAGGAAAGCTATGGGCAGAGAATAGGTTTGTTTGGTGAGTTTAAATGTAATCATCATCTGAATAAGATACAGCTGTGTGCTCATTTCCTTGTCCATAGTCCAGCTTTTATGTAGGCTATAACTGGAGTGCCAAGCTCTCATTAAAGCAGCCTCGGATGCCTCTCTCTACTCAGCTTGTGCTGCTGTTCATCTTTTTTTTAGCTTGTGCTTATACTCCTTATTTCCCCCGTTGGGATGTAGCTAAAGCTGAGAAAGTTGAAAAGACATTGTTAAGTACTTTGTTTGCTTCTACCCTATTTTGGTAACATGCATTTTGAATGCTTCAAAATAAAAGATCTGTTCCTCTCTTGATGCAAATCAGTGGGGATTTTGCTATGGACTATTAGGAGTAGGACAAAGCCCAACATTTCTTTTGCTACCAAACTTTTTCTTTATCTGTTTGTTAATTTTCTGCATATCTTATGGAACACAAGCCTACTAGGTCTTGTTCAATTATTTTCTGCTTTGTGTACCAACAATAAATGAAGCTAGTGAAATTCTAGGAATAGAAATTCTTAGCAAAAGACTGTTTTTGCTCACTTGGCAGAACAGTGCAGAGCACAAAATGCTGTGGACCGAAACTTCATTAGGTCTCTAAAATGAGCATTAGCATATTCCTGAAGAAAGTGTAAATGTGCATCTCTGCTAGTTTTTGCATATAGATGCACTTTTTTGCTCTGGAGGTACTCACAAATATTGCGTGAAACTCCATAGACTTTATACACATCAGCACTGGCTGTTGACTAAATTTAGAGAGACTTCAGTCTTAACTTTAAAAAAAAAATCATTTTCAGTTCTATTAAAAATGCATTACAAGTATGTGAAAGATATCTCTCTAGTTAAGTGTCAAAAGTCAGGAAGTGATTGATTTAAGATTTCATGTGCAAACTTAAAGGTGTCCCCTTATATTTATGAACTATGATATATTATGAGATTATACTAATTTGTTATTTGCTATACAGTATTATACAAATGTTGCTATGACCTTAAGTCTACATCTTGCAATATTTCATTTTATTTTATATTTAAACTAATTTCATTATAATATTTTTCTAGTTTGTTTTTTAGATAGACATTTAAATTTTTTTCCATTATATTATCTTTTTGACTGTCAGCAGTTTTTTAAACTTTGGACATAAAATGCAAAATTAGATGCCATGTACGCACCAGCAAATTTCACTGCTGCTCTTTGATGTTAAATTTAATTTTTAGCATGTTTTACAAAGATTAGGTTACTTTTTTACTTTGTATGTTTGTATAGATAGTATTTAAAGATGTGTGTCAGACAGCCCAATAGTACAAGTATATACTGGACATTAAAGGTGGGGGGAAGGTCATAGTACATTGTTTGAGAAGGTACATGACCATACTGAAAGAATTGCAGCAGAATCCATGCATACAATGTGTCAGAGTTTAAAAATGTATATATATATTCATGAGCTCATGCAACTTTAACTTGAGTATTTCAATGTAATGTTGACATAAGATTGTGTTGCAAAATCTAAAATCTCCTGTGTGGAGTGATTTCCCCTCTCCCTCCCTCCTTAAAGGTTTTGTTTTTTAAAATATAAAGATTAGAAGCATAATTTTTCTACTGTATAAATGTTTGGTCAGACATCACGGACATTCCTGTGCACACTGGGGCAGGATTTAGGGTTTGGCAGGGGATGTGCACCTCTGCAGTTCTCTGGTATCACACTTCCTGTGTTTGATTTCCACAGGATGCGTCCAATACGAAGTTACCAATATGAAGAAGGGAATTTAGGACTATACTTGTAAAGGTATTTAGGTGCTTAGTCTAGTATCTAGATTGCTAGCTAGGCACTAGACTAGCTAAGGAAATACGGGTTGTATGAATGGACAGTAATGTGGATAGAAAACTGGCTGGATCATTGTGGGTAGTAGTCAATGGCTCAATGTCTGGTTGGCAGCCAGTATCAAGTGGAGTGCCCCAAGTGGAGTGGAGTTCCCCACTAGTACAATAAGCTGAATATGAGCCAACAGTGTGCCCTTGTTGCAAAGAAGGCTAACAGCATACTGGGCTGCATTGGTAGGAGTGTTGCCAGCAGTTTGAGGAAAGTGATTCTTCCCCTCTATTCAGCACTGGTGAGGCAACATCTGGAGTACCGTGTCCAGTTTTGGGCCCCCCACTACTGACAGGATGTGGACAAATTGGAGAGCTATGGGCAGTAAAAGTAGTTAGGGGGCTGGGGCACATAACTTCTGAGGAGAGGTCGAGGGAACTGGACTTAGTCTGGAAAAGAGAAGACTGAGGGAGGGAGTTAATAGCAGCCTTCAACTACCTGAAGCATGGTTCCAAAGAGGATGGAGCTGGACTGTTTTCAGGAGTGGCAGATGATAGAATAAGGAGCAATGGTCTCAAGTTGCAGCAAAAGAAGTTTATGTTAGACATTAGGAAAGACTTTCTCACGAGGAGGATAGTAAAGCACTGGGACAGGTTACCCAGAGAGGTTGTGCAATCTCCATCTTTGAAGGTTTTTAAGACCTGGATAGACAAAGTTTTGGCTTGGATGATCTAGTTGTGCATGACCCTGCTTTGAGCAGGGAGTTGGACTAGATGACCTCCTGAGATTCCTTCCAACTTCAATTTTCTATTATTCTAACTCCCATTGAAACACTTTTTGAAACACTTTTTGCTCATCCTCTATTATTAACATTCTAGGACAGGGGCAGGCAATTATTTCACATGGAGAGTCACTTAATGAAGTTTGGTGAGCTTTTGAGAGCCACATGGGTAGCACCACCCCTTGATAGTTGCCCCACCCCCTGGTCATCATCTTGGGACTGGAAGTCCCATCCCTAACCCCTGGCCTTGCCACTGGAAGTCCTTCCTCTTGCCTCCTGGAAATACTCCTTTTGGGAGGGAGGACTGCCATCTTAGAACCAGAAAAAAACCAAATCATACACTAAAGGTCAAACACCTACTATAATCTATTTTAATTTTATTACAAAAAATAGGTGTGTTATGATTTGTGTTTGCATACTGTACATAGAGGTGACTAAATAACTCAAAAAATAAATTCATAGACTTGTATACTCTGTGTGTGGGTGTGTGGGGTGTGACTGTGTGTGTGTGGGGCATAGGATATGTTGGGGGGGTGTATATAGGGGTGTGTGGGTGAAGGGTGTGGGCGTGTGGCATTTGTGGGGTGTGGGGGGATCCCCTCCACACACTTCCCCCACCCCAATGGCACAGCAGCAGCAGATAAGCATGCTCATGGCGTTCATGCCTGGCACAGGCACTGCTGCCCAGCGGTGTGTGGTTCTGGCCAGCGCTTCATGTAAGGGCGAGGGGCACAGCCCGGCCAGGCCACCTTTATCACTGGCACTCCCTGCTGTGCATGCACAGCCCCCATAGTTGCCTGCCACCAGAGGGATACTCCATGTGGCAGAGCCAGCTGCCTGTGCCGCTCTCTGCTGTGCAGGTCCCAGGACTCCATGGGGAAGCAGTGGCCAGGGCTCCCCTCCACTTCTGACGGAGGGACTTCCCTCCAGCGCTGCACGAGTGCAGAGGCTGCACATGTGTGGCAGGTAGCGCCAGCGATAGAGGTAGCCTGGCCAGGCTGTGCTCCTCCTGCAATGTGCAGCACTGGCCAGAGCCACATGCTGCCAGGCACCAGCACCTGTGCCAGGCATGAACACCCCTGCCTGCTGCTGGCGGGGCTGTAAGCTGTGGGGTGAGTGTGGGGAGAGGGGCCCCACACTTCCCCACACGCTTCGTCACACCCACACACTGCCCACCCAAGCTCTGCACTGTTGCCACCCTCCTGGGTGCAGGCTCCGCAGTGCCCTCAGCCCCAGCCCCACACTCTTTGCTTCTACCCAGCCACAGCTGTGCCCCTGCCCCCAACACTTCCCTACCTACTGCCCAGAGTGAGCAGGACGCCGGGGAAGCCAAGCAAGTCCCCCAGTGACTGTAGCAGTGGCAGCAGCAGCCCCACCCAGAAGCTGCGTGCTGGCTGAGCCAGGCCCTTCCACCCACAAGGGTGGGAGTGAGGCGCAGTAGGGTATGTTGGCAGGGGTGTGTATTCATGGGCACTTCCCTTCCACCCTCATGGACTGAAGGGCTGAGTGGGATACAATTAGTTGGTGGATGCCCACGGGCGAGATGAAAGTGCCTGGTATTTTGCCAGTCCCTGTTCTAGGATCAATACAACCAACATGATGGTTGTTACACAGGTACACAGGCTAGCTGAGATTTGGCTATTATGTGGGACTGGAGGAGATCTCTGATCTCAGCCTGTGTAGCTAGGAAATGTAGAGATGAAATTTGTTTGGTTGTAAAATGTGAAAAAAAGTGAATGGTACAGGGGAGAAAACATTTTAACACTGTTTCAAACTTCAAAAAAAGACATTTGATTTTTCAAACCTATACTTAGCAATGATTTGCCTACTATAGGATAATTAAAATGCAATGATATTTTAATGCATGACTTAAACCTCTAATTTTCTTTTCTTCTAGACTATACCTTCTGTAAAGCTTGTGGAGGATAGACATATGTGCTGCAATGGTGACATAAATTATTAAACAGGACTGGAACAAGTTGTTGAAAGCTGTTTATAATTTTTTTAATGCTGCTGCTGCTTGGGAACAGTCTAAGGCAAGTATACAACATGAGTTTTATCATGAAACTTCACAGACATTTTCAAAGAACAGTTATCCTGCTTGCCACTTTTTGTATGGTGAGCATTGTTATTTCTGCTTACTATTTGTATAATGGCTACAAACAGGAAAATGAACTTTCTGAGATCTCTTCAGACATGGAATGTGGTGATTTTCAGCTGTTGCCATACAAACTGATGGAACTGAAGACAGTGAAGCCCGTTGATCCCCTGAGGACTGATCTTGTTGTGCTGGTGTTTGTGGAAAGCCAGTATTCAACACTTGGTCAAGATATAATAACCATTCTAGAATCCAGCAGATTTCAATACCACATAGAGATTGCTCCTGGGAAAGGTGATCTTCCAGTGCTTATAGATAAAAATAAAGGCAAATACGTTCTCATTATATATGAAAACATTTTAAAGTATGTGAATATGGACTCCTGGAACAGAGGCCTTCTAGATAAATACTGTATAGAATATGGAGTGGGTGTCATTGGATTTTATAGAGGCAGTGAGAACAGCTTGCAGAGCTTTCAGTTGAAGGGTTTCTCTTTTCATGTTCACAGCAATCTAGGTGTTAAAGACTGTTGTATTAATCCTCATTCTCCATTGCTTCATGTGACTAAATCATCAAAGCTTGATAAAGGCCCCTTGCCTGGAAATGACTGGACAGTATTCCAAATTAATCACTCAGCCTATCAGCCTGTGATATTTGCAAAAGTAAAGGCACCAGAAAACCTTCCACCACCTGTTGCTAAAAATGC